GGCGGGGCTGTGGTGCCACTGCTGGTGCAACCCCCATGGCGCATGGCTTCTGCTGACATAGCCCCCATGGTGCGTGGACCCCAGTTGCTAAAAGCTGGACAGCTCTGCCCTAGGTAGATGATATTTTCATCTGAGGAACAGAAAGACGAGAGGGCCTGATCATCTTTGGGAAAAGCCAGTGCTGTTGGGCTAAAGCTGAACAAAAATTTAAGTTGTACTGGAGACAACACAGCAAGATGTGTAGATAGATCTCAGTAAGCTAAAAATATAACTACCATGCCTGCCCCAGTGGACAAAGGATGGGTACAAAGATTCCTTGTGAGGGAGAACTATGGAGAGAAACTTGAACCTAATTGAGTCACATGAACCAGCAGGCTAAGTATTGCCCTGCTGAGCTGCTTGATGGGCATGGGGTTCATAGATTCATAGAAGTAGGGTCGGAAGGGACCTTGTAGATCATCAGGTCTGACCCCCTGCCCTGGGCAGGAGAGAAAAACCGAGCTCAAATGACCCCAGCCAGGTAGACGTCAAGCCTCCTCTTAAAGACCCCCAGGGTAGGAGCCAGCACCACTTCCCTTAGAAGTTGGTTCCAGATCCTAGCTGCCCTGAAAGTGAAGTAGTGCCTTCGAATGTCCAGTCTAAACCTACTCTCTAACAACTTGTGGCCATTATTCCTTGTTACCCCAGAGGGGGCGCTAGGGGGAACAAGGTCTCTCCCAAACTCTGCTGGTCCCCCCTAGTGAGTTTATAGATGGCCACCAGGTCCCCCCTCAGCCTTCTCTTGTGAAGGCTGAACAGGTTCAGGTCCTGTAGCCTCTCTTCCTAGGGCCTGCCCTGCTGTCCCTGGATCATGCGGGTGGCCCTCCTCTGGACCCTCTCAATGCTGTTCACATAACTCCTGAAGTGCGGCGCCCAGAGCTGAACACAGTACTCCGGCTGTGGCCTGACCAGTGTTGCATAGAGGGGGAAGATCACCTCCTTGGACCTACTTTAGATGCATCTGTGGATGCATGACAAGGTACAGTTAGCCCACTGACCGTGACCTCGCATTGTCGGCCCATGTTCATCTTGGAGTCCATAATGACTCCAAGAGCTCTTTCTGCCACTGTGCTCTTGATAAGGGAGTTTCCCAGCTTATAAGTGTGCTGCTGGTTCCTACTGCCTAAGTGCAGCACCCTGCACTTGTCAGTATTGAAACCCATCCTATTTTTGTTAGGCCACCCCTGTAACCTGTCCAGGTCCTGCTGTAAGCAGTCCTTCCCTACTAGCATGCCCACCTCACCCCAAATCTTGGTATCATCAGCAAATTTAAACAGACTGCTTTTCACGCCGTCATCCAAGTCACTAATAAAGAAATAGAACAGTGCGGGCCCGAGGACCAAGCCCTGGGGGACTCCACTGACCACTTCCCTCCAGGTCAAAAAAGATCTGTTCACCACCACACTCTGAGTACAATCCTTCAACCAATTTGCAATCCATCTGACTGTATAGGCATCAGTGCCACAGTCACCTAGTTTTTTAATGAGAATGGGGTGAGAGACCATGTCAAAGGCCTTGCTGAAGTCCAGAAAGACTACATTCACCACGACACCTGCGTCCAAGGATTTTGTGACCTGATCATAGAAGGCAATCAGGTTGGGCTGACAGGACCTGCCTCTAATGAAACTGTGCTGGTTGCCCTTGAGCATCATCCCTGCTGCTGGCCCATCACAGATGTGCTCCTTGATAATCTTTTCAAAGAGTTTCCCCAGGATTGAAGTAAGACTAATGGGCCTACAGTTGCCTGGGTCCTCCCTCTTCCTTATTTAAAGATGGGGACCCCGTTGGCTTTTTTCCAGTCATCTGGCACCTGGCCAGAGCACCACGAGTGCTTGTAAAGCCGTGCCAGGGGCCCTGCAATAACCCCTGCCAATTCCCTCAACATCCTGGGGTGGAGAGCATCTGGACTTGCTGATTTGAACATGTCCAGCCCCTCCAGAAGCTCTCTAACCCGGTTCTCCCCGACCTTAGGCCTGGTGGCGTTTCTCCCAAGTCCGTCTGGAATCTTGGTCAGGGAGTCCCGGTCCCTGCACAAGAAAATGGAGGCGGAGAATTTGTTAAAGAGGTGCTTTCTCCTCTGGTGCAACCACCAGATTGCCAAACATATCCTGTAGGGGCCCCACATTACCCAGTGCCTTCTTCATTCTCCGTATATATTTAAAAAAGGACTTTTTATTACCTTTGATCTTGATAGAAAATCTTAAAGGCCCATTCCTGAGGTTCTATGACAATGACTGCAATGTGAAACTGCCCGCAGATGTCTCCAAGATGGGATACTGGTAAAACCCTTTTTTCAGCAGTATGGTCAAAACTGCAGATGAGTGGCTTATACATCATGGACACAAAGAAAACTAAGTGCCATTACGTTCAGTACAGAGAGAGCCTTTTATCTCTGTCCATAGTTAAACTTCATATCTGTGTCTGACTCTGAAATTTGCTCTGAACTATTTTGGCCTTTGTTGAAAGAGGCCAGACACCCTCCTCTCATGTGGGGCAGCTTATTCCCAATCTCTGTTATCAATTTAGGGAGCATTTAGTACTAGATGGGGTTTTGTTTAAAGGCACCAGCATGGTGATTCCTAAGGTGGGGGTGGGGTACAGAAACATGCGGAAAGTTCATTTAGGGCTTGAAAAATGTAAGGGAAAATCTGAAGACATTTCATATGCCCTCTAACGGAACAGTAAATTGAAGTATCTGTTAAAGCTTGTTATGTAACAGAACTAAGGACCAGGTCAAGAGAGAGAACCTGTGTTGGTGGCATAAGAAAAATGGAACAAAGGCAGCATAGATTTACCCCCAGCACCACCCTTTCCTTAGCCAACAACTTATTCTAGATTATTCTTGCTTCCCTGAGATAGTAGTAATAGAAGATGCTTCAGCTAAAGAGGTATGTACATATTAAGTGCATTTTTGCTAGACAAGACATATCTGGTAATGGGCCACAATTAAATAGGCATGATAAAATAGTTTGCTGTGAGGTATGGATTGAGACATATTAGTCCCCATTATCCCCAGTCTAACAGTTCAGTGGCACATGGTGTCAAAACAATGAAGTGCCTACTTTTAAAAAATGCAGTGTCAGACTGATCCGTAATTAGCACTGTTAAATTACAGAATGACACCAATGAAGCATGGATTGTCACCTGCTGACATCTTGTTCAACATAAAGCCAAGAACAAGAATACCTGCATTGTTAGAAACTGTCAATGGGGGCTTCCAGAAGGATAGACAAGGCAAAACAGTTTGATTTGAGGTCCTGGTAACTACCACTTCATGAAAGCAATGTTGCACGTATCTACAATAGGAAATGATAGTTGAAACAAGAATGATGTTGGAAGAGGTAGTCACTCCATGCAGATACATAATATGGCGAAACGAGCAACAGCTTCTCTAGATCCCAGAAGGCAGGGAGATAACAGGCACTGAGTCAGCTGTTTTGCCTAAGGCCTGAGTGAGGCAAAAACTAGTGCAGGTTGGAATGGCTGAGCCCTGCAAAATGACATCACTAGGACAAATTGACTTATTGCTACTTGACAGTAGTGCTGATGTCCCAAGAGGGACCCGAAGGTCTGCACAATACCTGGGGACTCTCTGAGACTAATTGAATACTGTCAGTTAGTATTTGAAATTCTGGATTAACGTTAGTTACTGTGTGTGCTCAAGGAAGAAAGATGTGCACATTTTAAAGGGTCTGAGGCCAGTTGTGTAAACTGAGACTATGCAATGGTTGTGCAGATTCCGGTCGTGCAATGCTGGGCAGTTCGAACTTGGGATAAGTCTACATAGTGCAATGCAGAGCTGTGACGAGGTACTCCAGGAACAGTAGGACCATATTAACATAGTGCCTCACTCTTACGTGTTAAGTAGCCTTGCTAACATGGCTATAGTGTTTCCAAAATCCCAGTTATTTTTGCACAGCACTGTATTGTTCCATGTAGACATAACTCTCAAACGCTGAATGAAGCAGACCTCTGTTAGACCCCTTGGCTCTGAGTGATTTGTGAAGATAGGGTAAAAGATATGCCTTGATTCCTTTTACATAAGATGTATCATCTTTGGTTTACTTTGACAATATTATTATCTATCGTAGGGGGCAGTCCATTCCTGCAGCGATACAAGCATATGGTTATTTTCATGCAAAGTGTTCATCCAATCCCTTTGAAGTTAGTGGGGCAGCTCACTGTTTGTAAAGTTCTGCACGTGTAAAAACCTGCAAGATCAGGGCTGATATAGTGCCAAGGTGCCCTTCCTGGAATGCATCTTCCTCGTTCCTCCTATGTCACAAAAATGTATCATTAAAAATATCATTTACCAGCAACTTCTACATCCTACTCTTGCAAATACCACATATACTTCCTGTCTTAAGAGTAATCAATAGAGGCTTCTAAATTCATCATATCTTTAGCATCAGTTAGTGTTACTTCAGTTTCAAGTATGCAGGGTCTCTGCATGCATAAGAAAGTCATGATTAGAGGTCTCAGTGAAAACTGAGCCTCTTTGTGCTAGGTGCCGTTCAAACGTACAAGGACAGGACCTGCCAAACAGGCAAGACAGAAAAAGGAAATGTTATCTCCATCTTACATCTGAGGAGCTGAGGGGTAGAGAGATTCAGTTACCTGCCAAAGATCACACAGGGTGTCTGGGACCGAGCTGAAATCCAATTCAAGTGTTCTGAACACCATGGTAGTGTCTGAACTGTGATATTACCTTTTCTTCAGTCAGCATGACTTAGTGAATAGAGTAATGAGCTGGCATATAAAAGGTTTGGGTTCCCATTCCTGCCTCTATCACAGTTTTACTGAGTAATCATTGGCAAGTCATTCCACTTCTTCTTCCTTCAGTTTCCTCATCACTAAAAAGTGGATAACCTGCTTTTCATTATAAAGTACTTTCAGATGTAGTACTAAATGTACTTGATATTAATTAAAGGAAATGACCACGTAAAAAAATCTTGTCCAACTTTTCATTGTATAAATAATTTATTTAAGTTCACAGCGTCATGTTTGTATCATTAAAAAAAAAAAGAGAAAAGATGGAAGGAACAGAGGATATTATGTCAGGGTAGTATGAAATCAGAGTAGGCAGCATGGCATTTTTTCTCAAGTTCCAACACTAATAGGTACAGTGTGAAGAGAAAGTCAGAAGTGTGACTGGCATCTTGTGACATCTGCTAGAAAAGAAATACTCAAACCTCCTTTTGAGAAGACACAATCTTGAGAAAACCCACATTTGTTTTCATATTAGACTGGGTAAAGCTCTTTTTTCTGTGCATTTAACCATCATTGTTTCAGTCATCTTTATCAGGCCAATTACAGATGACAGTGCAGTTGAACACTATCACTGAACAGAGAAACATGCATTACAGTACTGAAATGTCACAGAAATACTGTTACCTATTGGAAAACTATTTTTAAGTTATTGCAAAAATGTACCTTTAGTGGCAATGGCCCTGGACCAGCATAATATCTATCTAGCAGAGTACTTAAGTATACACTTAAATGCTTTGCTGGATAGGATTAACTGGGACCAGTTTGCCTTACTGTGCAAAAAGGACCTGATCCTGCAGACACATATTTATTTGCATGATATTTATTTGCACGAAGAGTGCCACTGAAATCAATTAAATCTGCATGCATAGTTACTTATTGGTGCTTATGTCTGCATAATCAGGACCACAATCTGGATAGTAGACAAAATATCATAATTAATTCCTATGTTTATTGTCTTAAAGCAAGGTTTTTATTCAAAGGATTACATTTTATCCTTAGCTACTGTAAAGATCAGACAACAGTTGCAGCATCTGGCTTCTGTGGTGTCACAAAATGAAGGTTTGCACTTTCTCTCCTGTGGAACTACCAAATGTCAAAAGTGCTTAAGAGTGTTGTGAGTGAAGAAAAGAAAAAAAAAACCCAACAAAAGTCCAGAGCCGCCTCAAATAATGGGACCAGCCCATTCATTAGATCCAGGAACAAGTCACTGCTCATGTAAACTGGAATTCTGCAGGCATATAAATACTACTTGGTTTCAGTATCCGATTTCTACAAAATGCTACTTGGAAGGTACCGAGTTCATAGATAAGGGGAGAATCAGCTGCCTGAAACTCCCTGGGTTAAGTCTTTGTCTGTTTGGTGTTTTCCACAGCTGTAATTTAGGACCTGCATTCAAGCAGGAATGCCAGTAATTGGCTTGCCAGAAATGACCACGTTAAAACGAAATTTTCCACAGGCACAAAACAGTCACCGGAGATGTTCAAATCCTGAAAATTAGCTCTCATTTCCAAACACCCTTCTTGTGAAACTATAAGGGTAAAGACCGTGGTTTACTCAGTGAGGTGGTTTCCTGGAGAGAGAACAGGGGGGAAAAAAAACACTTCTATTCATTACCAGTCTGGTTCTTCACCCATCAACTTCAATGGTGAAGGGCCAGAATCTTGCTAAACAATACAAGGTTCAATCTTCTACCAGTGAGGTCAATAGAAGCAAGACAGTACTTGTACAGCAAATTCATAATTGGCTCAAATCTGCCTTTAACATGTGATTTGTAAGTAGGGCTCTCAACACAAATGTATTTAAAAATGTATCGTTTTCTTATTAAAAAAAAAAGATCACTCCAATTTCCCCAGTCATTTTTCTGCCCTCCCCTGCCCTTTTCAGGCAGACATCTTTTTAATTCTTCCTACTGGGGGTGGGGGGTATAAATTTATCTTAGCCACTCATAGTTTTGTATTCTGTTAGCCAAAGCACTGATTGGATTCACAGAACCTGTTTATATTCAAGTTTAACTACCACTGGCCTAAATCTTTTGTGTTCATCCATTGCTTTCATACTGATGCAATGAGGTGGACAGTTGGAGGCCTAGAATCCAACACTGTAGTGAGGTTTTTTTTCCCCACAGAAAATATAAATTGGACAAACCAGCTTGATCCAAATTAGACAAAAGAAACATACCTCTACCAGTAGGTTACAGTGATATAAAAGGGTGTGAGAAAGACCTATTCCTTCTCATTACAATAGGACACAGCCTCTGTTAAAAATAAACCTTTGATAATGTGACAAGAGATGTGAACACCCTTCATGGCAAAGTTCATACAGAACCCCTTGGAAGCAAATAGCTTCAAACTCAGCACCAAGTCAGCAGCTGGTCACAAACCATCCAGCTGGTTATAGCTTTAAATTCCATGTGGATCAATACATTTTTCTGTTTTTCCAAGGATGATGTGCACCCACTAGCAATTCCCCTTTAAGCACGCAGACTGCTACTGCAAGCAGCAGCGTATCATTCATTCACTGCTCTCCTACCTTTTGTTAGTCTGATTTTTTTTTTTCCAATTCATTTTTGGTGACCGTAACCTGCAAGTGGACCGAATCCAAGTGGTCCGGGGAGATGGCTGGTGCCAGCCCTGAGAAGCAGTTCTCCCCAGAGGCCAACATCCACCATTAAGCAACAGGGATCAGTATGTGTTTTCCTTTTCCTACCCTGGTTTTCCAATTGTGGGCAGGTCCCTCAGCATCCACTGCTCCCTGAAGCATTATTTCTTCAGCTCCACTTTCCCCAGAAGCCCTTCCCTTAGCCCCATATACACATACACACACTTAAAAAAAAAAAAAAATACAAGTTCCCAAGCCAGGAGCACATCCTAGTCTCTCTCAAGCAGGGTCCTGCCCTGTTCTGTCCAGCTCCTGGGCTTCCTTGTCCCACAGGTGCACCAAGGAAAAAGTCCTTCCCTCCAGAGGACGGAGGGGCCCAATGAGTGGCTCCTCAGGGAGTCCATGGGCCCCCAGCAGCTTCCTCCTGGGGCGGCTTTGGCTCATCCTGGTGGCTTTGGGGCCGAGGAGGGCAGCCAGGCCAGCCCCAGCCAGCAGCTTGCCCAGGTTGAGAAGTGGACGTGGGGAGAAGAAGGTGGCCTGAGCCATGCCCCTCTCACTCTGTGTGAGGCAGAGGCTGGTGGGCGTCCGGCGAGCCAGGGTTTGTTCCTCTGTCCCGATCCGGCACCAGCGGGCTCAGCTCGTGGTCTCGCTGGCTCCGGCGGCCTCCTCCCCTTTACCGTTTCTTCTTCTGCTTGAGGGACTTCCTACGCTTGAGAATCATCTCGTAGAGCTTGTCCATGCCCTCAGTGAGGCCCTCGCCGATGATGGCGCAGGCGGGCTGGATGTGGTAGGTGGTGGAGGGCGCCAGCTCGTGCAGCGCCAGCTGCTTCTCGATCTCGGCCACGGGCAGCGACTTGGGCAGGTCCTGCTTGTTGGCGATGACCAGCAGGGGGGTGCCCTGGTTCTCGGCAAACTTGGTCACCTTGTGCAGCTCCGTCTTGGCCTCCTCCAGCCGGTCCACGTCCACCGAGTCCACCACGTAGATGATGCCGTCGGTGCAGCGGCTGTAGGACTTCCAGAGCGGGCGCAGCTTCTCCTGGCCGCCCACGTCCCAGAAGTGGCAGCTGATGCCCTTGGCCGTGCCGTTGCTCAGCTTGATCTTCTCCGTGTTGAAGCCGATGGTGGGCACCGTGTTGACGAACTCGTTGAACTTGAGGCGGTAGAGCACCGTGGTCTTGCCCGCCGAGTCCAAGCCCAGCATGACGATGTGCAGGGACTGGAAGGCGGAGATGTTGGACGAGATGTTCCCCATGGCGCCC